CCAACTTTGCTTTGCTTTTTCAGGATCTCTTTGACTATTCGGGGTCTTCTGTGGTCCCATACAAATTTTAGGATTGTTTGTTTTATCTCGGTGAAGAATGCTGGTGTTATTTTGATAAGGATGTCATTAAATACATGGATTCCTTTAGGTAGTAAAGACAGTTTAACAATATTTGTTCTTCTAATCCATGAGCATGGAATGGTTTTCCATTTCTTTGTGTCCTCTTCAATTTCTTTGCTATGTGTTCTATAACTTTCAGAGCATAGCTCTCTTACCTCTTTAATTAGGTGTAATCCTAGCTATCTTATTGTTTTTGGTGCAATTGCAAATGGGATCGATTCCTTGATTTTTTTTCTCCTGCTTTGTTATTGGTGTATAGAAATGCAACAGATTTCTGTGTGTTAATTTTATATCCTGTGACTTTGCTGAGTTCATGTATTAGTTCTGGCAGTTTTTGGTGAAGTCTTTTGGATTTCCTACATCTAGAATATCGTATCGTCTGCAAATAGTGGAGGTTTGACTTCTTCCTTGTTGATTTCTTTTGGTTGTCTGATTGCTGAGGCTAGGACTTCCAGTACTATGTTAAGTATAATGGTGAGAGTGGACATCCCTGTTGTTTTCCTGACTGTGGGGAAAAGGCTCTCTGTTTCTCCCCGCTTGAGGATGATATTAGCTATGGGTCTTTAGCATATGGCTTTGAAGATGTTGAGGTGTATTTCATCTATACCTACTTTGTTGAGGGCTTTCTTTTATCCACAGTGGATGCTCTATCTTGTCAAATCCTTTTTCTGCATTTGTTGAGAGGATCATAGGGTTCTTATCCTTTCCTTTATTCATGTGGTGTATCGTGTTGATTGATTTGCAAATATTGATTCACTCTTGCAGCCCGGGAAGCAATCCTACTTGATCATGGTGAGTAATTCTTTTAATGTACTGTTGGATTCGATTTGCTAGTATCTTGTTGAGAGTTTTTGCATCCATGTTCATCAGGGATATTGACTAGTACTTCTCCTTCCTAGTGGGGTCTTTATCTGGGTTTGGAATCAAGGTAATGCTGGCTTCTTAGGCCAGCATCACTCTGATTCCCAAGCCAGACAGAGATCCAGCAAAAAAAAGAGAACTATGGGCCAATATCCTTGATGAATACGGATGCAAAAATCCTCAACAAGATACTTGCAAATTGAATCCAACAGCACATAAAAAGAATTATCCACCAAGATCAAGTGGGATTCATTCCTGGGTTACAGGGCTGGTTCAATATTCGCAAATCAATCAATGTGATACATCACATCAACAAAAGAAAAGATAAAAACCATATGATCCTGTCGATAGATGCAGAAAAAGCATTTGAAATACAACATCCCTTCTTAATAAAGACCCTCGAGAAAGTCAGGATAGAAGGAACTTACTTAAACATCATAAAAGCCCATCTATGAGAAGCCCTCAGCTAACACCATCCTGAATGGGGAAAAAACTGAGAGCTTTCCCCCTGAGATCAGGAACACGACAGGGATGTCCACTCTCACCACTGCTGTTTAACATAGTGCTGGAAGTCCTAGCATCAGCCATCAGACAACAAAAGGAAATCAAAGGCATCAAAATCAGCAAAGAAGAAGTCAAACTTTCACTTTTCACAGACGACATGATACTCTACATAGAAAACCCAACAGACTCCACCAGAAGCCTACTAGAACTGATCCAAGAATTCAGCCAAGTTGCAGGGTACAAAATCAACATAGAGAAATCGGTTGCATATTTATACACCAACAATGAAGCAACAGAAAGAGAAATCAAGAAACTGATCCCGTTCACAATTGCACAAAAAACCATAAAATACCTAGGAATAAACCTAACCAAGGATATAAGAGATCTGTATGATGAAAACTATAGAAAACTTATGAAGGAAATTGAAGAAGACACAAAGAAATGGAAAAACATTCCATGCTCATGGATTAGAAGAATAAATATAGTTAAAATGTCATTACTACCCAAAGCAATCTACACATTCAATGAAATCCCAATAAAAATTGTACCAGCATACTTCTCAAAACCAGAACAAAGTATCCTAAACTTTGTATGGAACCACAAAAGACCCCAAATAGCCAAAATAATACTAAAGAATAAAACCAAAACGGGAGGTATCTCCATCCCAGACTTCAGCCTCTACTACAAAGCTGTCATCATCAAGACAGTATGGTATTGGCACAAACACAGACACATAGACCAATGGAACAGAATGGAGAACTCAGAAGTGGACCCAAAAGTGTACAGCCAATTAATCTTTGACAAATCAGGAAAGAATATCCAATGGAAAAGACTCTTTAACAGATGGTGCTGGGAGAACTGGACAGCAACATGCAGAAGAATGAAACTAGACCATTTTCTCACACAATACACAAAAATAAACTCAAAATGGATAAAGGACCTGAACGTGAGACAGGAAGCCATCAAAACCCTAGAGGAGAAAGCAGGAAACAACCTCCTTGACCTCCACCGCAGCAATTTCTTACTTGACACATCCCCAAAAGCAAAAGAATCAAGAGCAAAAATAAATTGTCTGGACCTCATCAAGATTAAAAGCTTCTGCACAGCAAAGGAAACAATCCATAAAACTAATTGGCAACCGACCGAATGGGAAAAGATAGTTGCAAATGACATATCAGATAAAGGGCTAGTATCCAAAATCTATAAGGAACTCACCAAACTCCACACCCGAAAAACAACCCAGTGAAGAAATGGGCAGAAGATATAAACAGACACTTCTCCAAAGAGGACATCCAGATGACTCCACATCCGAAAAACAAACAACCCAGTGAAGAAATGAGCGGAAGGTATGAACAGACACTTCTCCAAAGAGGACATCCATATGGCCAACAGACACATAAAACGATGCTCAGCTTCCCTCCTCATCAGGGAAATACAAATCAAAACCACACTGAGATACCACCTCACGCCAGTCAAAGTGGCTAAAATGAGCAAATCAGAAGACTCTAGATGCTGGCGAGGATGTGGAGAAACGGGCACCCTCCTACACTGTTGGTGGGAATGTAAACTGGTGCAGCCCCTCTGGAAAACAGTGTGGAGGTTCCTCAGGAAACTAACAATAGAGCTCCCCTATGACCCAGCAATAGCACTGCTAGGAATTTACCCAAGGGATACAGGAATGCTGATGCATAGGGGCCCATGTACCCCAATGTTCATAGCAACACTCTCAACAAAGCCAAAACATGGAAAGAGCCTAAGTGTCCATCAACGGACGAATGGATCAAGAAGATGTGGTTTATCTATACGATGGAATACTACATGGCAGTGAGAAAGAATGAAATCTGGCCATTTGTAGCAACGTGGATGGACCTTGAGGGTGCTATGCTGAGTGAAATAAGTCAGGCAGAGAAGGACGGATACCATATGTTTGCACGTATGGGAGGATTAGGAGGAACGTAACAGAGGACCAAGGGGGAGTAGGAGGGGGGAAATAGTGGGGGAGAGGGAGGGAGGCAAACCATGAGAGATTCTTGAATACTGAGAAACAAACTGAGGACTGATGGATGTGGGGGGGAGGGGGAAGATGGACATGGAGGAGGGCACTTCTGGGGATGAGCACTGGGTGTTATATGGAAACCAACTTGACAATAAACTATTTGTAAAAAAAAAAAAAAAAGAATATTCTAAAACTAAAAAAAAATGTAATGCTGGCTTCTTAGAATGAGTTTGTAAGTTTTCCATCCTTTTTTTTTTTTTGGAACAATTTGAGATAAATAGGTATTAACTCTTTAAATGTCTGATAGGAGGGTTGCCTGGGTGGCTCAGTCAGTTAGGCATCTGACTTCAGCTCAGGTCATGATCTCATGGTTCGTGGGTTCGAGCCCCATATCGGGCTCTGTGCTGACAGCCAGCTCAGAGCCTGGAGCCTGTCTTCCGATTCTTTGTCTCCCTCTCTCTCTGACCCTCCCCTGCTCACCCTGTGTCCTCTCTCTCTCTCTCTCTCTCTCTCTCAGAAATAAATAAAACATTAAAAAAAATTTTTTTAAATGTCTGATAGGATTCCCCAGGGAAACCATCTGGCCCAGGACTCTTGTTTGTTGGGAGATTTTTTATTATGGATTCAGTTTCTTTGCTGGTTTTGGGTCTTCTCAGATTTTCTCTTTTCTTCCTGTTTCAGTTCTGATAGTTTGTGAGTCTAGGTATTTATTATCCATTTCTTCCAAATTGCCCAGTTTGTTGGCAGGAGCACCACTAAGCCAGGCATGACCCTGGCGGTGGCGGACTTATAAAGCTTCAGATTTTGCACTCTGCTGCTTATAATACTTGCAGTAGTGTCCGTAAGGAGGGTTCCCTCCCCACCCCCCAAAACCCGTAGTTCTTATCTCCCCCAAATCAACCCTCTGCTTCTCCTACCTTCCACGATTCTACTTGTAGACTTGCAGCTTTGTTCTCGTGGTCCTCAGACTGCTTTTTTGCATGTTCACAATGATTTGATATTTCTTTAGCTGCATTCGAGGGACGAGGCAAGCTTAGGGTCCCTCTGCTCCTCCGCTGTCTTAACTCCTCCCTCGTTTTTCCGACGCCCTCTTTCAGTTCCAAGATCCCATCCGGGGCACCATATTACATTTAGTTGTTTCCGCAAGATGACTTTTAATCAGAACAAAGTAAAAGTAGCTTTATTTTAAAATCCTCCAAATATATTAACTGTCCATTTTCCCCTTGGCCTCCTCGTTGTTGTTGATGTGTTACTTGTTGACAAAGACCAGGCCTTAGATTAGTTATATTCCTGTAGTTTCCAGCCGGGCTCCCTGCAAATTGACTACATAAGTGTCTGCTGATCTGGTCGCTGGCCGACAGCAACAGGCTGGGGCAGAAGGAAAGGAAGCGGAGGAAAAAGGGAAAAAGAAAGGCCTTACCTCCGAATCATTTAAAGCTTCACAGCTCTGAGGGACCTTCAGTGTCTGCTGTGACTTCGTGGAGTGGACTGCTCTGCTCTTGGCTTTTGTGTTCCCCAGGTTGGAGATCGCAACCTTGAATCGGGCCGACTCAGACCTGGAGGCTTGTCGAACCCAAATCAGCAGAGATATCATCGCCCTTCTGCTGAAGAATCTCACCACCTCTGGCCACCTGTCCCCCCAGGTAGAGAGGAGGATGGGTGCTATTTTCAAAAAGCAGTTTCTGTTGCTGGAGAAAGAAATACAAGAGGAGTATGATCGGAAGATGGTGGCATTGACGGCCGAATGTGACCTGGAAATGAGAAAGAAGACAGAGAACCAGTACCACAGGGAGATGGCAGCAATGGAAGAAGCAGAAGAGTTGCTGAAACGTGTCAGTGAGAGGGTAAGGCAGCTTTGAAAGGAAGGCTTCACTCTTCTTGTCTGCTTTCTCTCAGGGACGCGTCATTGATCCATCCGTCTGCCCATCCATCCACCCATTCAGTCATCACCCATTCATCTATCCATCCACCCACTCACCCCCTCCACCCACCTATCTACTCATCCATCCACCCATCCGTCTATACATCTACCACCCTTCCATCCACCTGTCCGTCTATATATCCATTCATCTATCTGCCAGCCACTCTTCCATCCATCCACTCATTCATCCATCCATCTATCCACCCACCCACTCACCCCCCTCCATCCACAAATTAATTCACCCATCCGTCTATACATCTACCACCCTTCCATCCACCTGTCCATCTATATATCCCTTCATCCATCTACCTACCACTCTTCCATCCATCCACTCATTCATCCATCCATCTATCCACCCACCTACTCACCCACCCTCCATCCACCCATCCATCTATACATCCACCACCCTTCCATCCACTGTCCATCTATATATCCATTCATCTATCTGCCAACCACTCTTCCATTCATCCACTCATTCACCTATCCGTCTATCCGTCTACCCACTCACCCCCTTCCATCCACCCATCCATGCACTCATCCATCTATACATCCACCACCCTTCCATCCACCTGTTCTTCTGTCCATCCATCCATCCCTCTACCCCTCTGCCTATAGTCCTTCTCTTCACCTGTCCACCCACTCACCATCCTTTCGCCCACTTGTCCGTCTATCCATCCATCTAGGATTTATTTAGAAAGCATTTATTGATCACTTACTGTCTCATACACTGGGCTAGGCAGGGACGTACAGAGGAAAATGAGATGTGGTTCTTGAGTTCAGGAAGTTCACAGTTCAATGAAGGCTTTTCACATTTAGAAGATGTGACCTCATTCAACTATTTTAGAATAGAGATGTGTTCACAGTGCTGCGGGAGATCCTGGGGAGAGTAGAAAGCGTGCACCCGCAGAGAGTGTGGCTCAGGGAGGTTGTGACGTCAGCGTGTGTTGGGTCCATCTGGGCCACGTGGTCCTAGGTGGCGGGGCCCTCCAGCACCTGCCCCACTGTCAGACAAACCTGGACTCCCCTTTCCAGTATATTGCCGTTCAGCTCCTGGAGGCCAGGCTGTGAAATAGGGCTGAGGGTGCTCCCTCTCTCTGTGTGGCTGGGAGAGGTAATGCAGGAAAAGTAGCCAAGTGGCGTTGGCTGCCCCAGGCACAGTGCACGGTGCTCAGCTCTGAGAGTTCTGACCCTCAGCCTTCCCAGGGCTGGCTTCTGTTGACCAGAGATCAGTTCTGATGTCTCTAAGAAACATGTCAGTTTCTGTTTTGAGAGGAATCACACCAGAGTCCTTCACTGAGTGCATCCGGTCAAGCCTAATTTCTGCCCTCCTCTGTGAAAGAGATGGCTCGTTCAGTCCCTGGGACTCGAACCCACATTTCCCAGGCTGAAAACCGGTCACCCTGGTGAGGTTCAACCGGTCACCCTGGTGAGGCCTAACATCTACTTAGGGAGGAACAGGCTTTTGAACTGCTCACTCCTGTTCCCCAGCCTGCCGTCCGTGCCCAGATTCCCCTGGACACGGACAAAGAGGGCCCACAGCCCGCGGCCCTCCGGTGGTCATCTGCCATCGGCCCACACGCTGGGCAAGGATGAAGAGAGGTGAGATTCGTGCTTGTCTCGCCCCCACCTGCTCCCTTGCACCCGGGGTCCCCCTTGCCTTAACATGCATCTCATTTTAGGGTGAGGCTTCTTTTCTCCTTGGCTCCTGTGTGAGCCCATGACTACTGTAACAAATTGCCACAGATTTCGTAGCTTAATGCAATAGATTTTTATTCTTCGACAGTTCTGGAGGCCACAAGTCCTAAGTCAAGATGTCAGCCATGCATACCCCCTCTGAAGTCTCCAGGGAAAGGTCCCTTCTTGTCTCTCCCAGCTTCTGGTGGCTCCAGGCACTCTGTGGCTGGGGGCCACATCACTCCAGCCTTGACTTCTGTCTTCACATGCGGTCTTCCATCCTGGGACCATCATTTCTTCTGTCCTTGGAGTCAGGGCTCACCCAGATCATCCCGGATGGTCTCATAAGATCCTTAACTTAATTACATCTGCAAAGGTCCTCATTCTAAATAGAGTCGCATCCACAGGTTCTGGATTAGGATGTGGTTTTGTGTCTTGGGGGTGACACTCCTTGGCCACCAGCATCCTGCTGGCTGACCCCGCTCTCTGTCCTCCCTCCATGACTCTACTGGTCAGTGCCAAGTTTCCCCGAGCCAGACGCTTACGAAGACTGTGCTGAGCTCACAGTGCAATTCAGCCCCCAAACCATCGCAAAATTCCTCTTTCTCTTCTCTCCTAAGTTTGTTATAATTTGTGTTCCTATGACAATAATACATGTTCTGGAAGGAAGGCTTGGAAAACATGAGAAAGCAGTAGTCCACAAACTAGACCCATGAGCCCAGCCTGTCATGGTCTGGCCCGTGGGTTGAGAATGTGTTTTTACATTTTCAAAGGATTGTGAAAAATAAAAGCAAAGCAAAAAAACAAAAACAAACAAACAAACTAAAAAAACAAAAAACAAGGAGAAGGATGTGTGACTGCAAACCTTAAAATTTTTATCTGGCCCTATACAGAAAAGTCTGCCAGCCCCAGCTTGAAAGCATAAAAAGAAAAACCTTGAAAAAAAAATAAGTGGAACCCACTTCACCATCCAGTCTGATTTGGAATTCCTACTATTGCCCGACCCTGGAGATTTCAGCACACATTTTAGCCTTTTGCCTTCTATATCTATGTTTACTTATTTTGAGAGAGAGAGAGCGCGCAAGTGCAACAGCAAGGGGGGCCAGAGGGACAGGAAGAGAGAATCCCAAGCAGACTCTGTGCTGTCAGCGCAGAGCCCAACGCGAGGCTCGAACTCACGAACTGTGAGATCATGACCCGAGGCGAAACCAAGAGTCAGACGCTTAACCGACTGAGCCCCCCAGGCGCCCCCTCTATTTTTTTTTTAACAAAGTAAAGTCTATGCAGTTCATAGAACTGTGTGTCATGTTTGTTCCCACTTAATGTCATGGTGTAAATATTTTCTGATCTTATTAAGTGCTCTCATACTTAATGCCCGCCGCAGGCATGCAGGGTTCTAAGCACATCACGCAGGCCTTCTCATCAAATCTTCACACCACCTCAGTGAGGTGGGAATTGATAGGATCCCACTTTCATGGCTGAGGAAACAGATTTGGAGAAGGTCACCTGCCCAAGGACGCGTGGGCGGGGCCGAGACGCAGAGCCAGGCAGCGTGCACCAACCCCGCCGCCCCCCCCCACCACCACCGCCATGGTGCATTGGCGCACCATGCCCCCTGCTGCCCTGTGCCAGGCTAATCCATCTTGCTGGGCTCCTACCTTCAGCTCCCAGAAGGCTGCCCGGAACGATGTTGTACATGTCTCCTCATTACGGACACAGGGAGTTGAAGTCCTGAGGAGGATGGCGGGACAGCGCCTCCCTCGGTGCCTGGCCTCACTCCCCAGTCTCCTGGCTCACAGCTGGGGGGTGCCATCGCTCCGGGTCCTTTGGGTCACCCTGTTCAGAAACCAGTAGCCTCGTTTGAGCCAGTGCGCTTCCAAAAATAGCATCTCAGCGGCTCAAGTCAATAGAGCTGTTTGCCTCCCGGTCTGTGCAAAACACTCCATCTTATCAAAAACTCCCAGTGACCTCGTAACTTACCTGTATGTTCATCACAGTCATCTTTAAAGGAAATGCATGAAAATATTTGGGGCATATTCTTCCACCAAGAATTCGTTTTTTAAAAAAAGAAAACTGGGCAGAATCTGTTTTTTGAGTAGAGTTCAGGAATTCCAGTAATGACATTTTTTTAACATTTTTATGTATTTTTGAGAGACAGAGACAGAGCACAAGCAGGAGAGGGGCAGAGAGCAAGAAGGAGACACTGAATCGGAAGCAGGGTCCGGCCTCTGAGCTGTCAGCACAGAGCCCGACATGGGACTCCAACCTACCCATGAACTGTGAGATCGTGACCTGAGCTGAAGTCGGACACTTAACTGACTGAGCCACCCAGGTGCCCCAGAAATTCCAGTAATTAGAGATGAAATCTGATCGCCTTTAAACACCTATGTAATCCCTTACAGTCTTTAAAGCGTTTCTCCACCGAGAGGCCGTGGGCAGTGTGGTGGTGACTGTAGACTCTGAAGGCGGAGATGGTTGGGTTCAGATCCTCATGGTGTTCTTCCGGAAGGGGCATCACTGAGGTTCCCTGGGTCTCAGTCTCCCCAGCCTTAAATTGAGGATACTAATGATGCCGGTGTTACGGGGATGTTTGTGTGTAAGTGGTGCTCAGACCAGTGCCTGGTGGCGTAAGCCCCGTAGCAGCATTTACTTGTGGTCTGGTGGAAAATCTAAAGAAACCCATGGCACAGAACAGAACATGAAGCCTTTCCACGTTGAGCTGGGGAAATCGAGGCACAGGGAGCAGGACTTGTCCAGCTTCCTGCAAGCAGTGCAGAGTGGGTCCTGTGTCTGGGGACTTTCTTCTAGACAAAGATGCCGTCCCCGCCGCTTAATGCAGTGGAAGCAAGGAACGCACCATGCCCTGAGCTGTGCGAACGTCTCAAGGGCAAAGATTCCCGAAGTGCAAGCATTCTTCCTCTGTAACCATCTCTGATGGATTTGTTTCTATCAAAGAGTTTTGCTGTCTGCCCATCTTGCGAAACTGAATGCAGGGAATACGATCTAGTTGAGTTATAATTTTCTGTCCTGGTTTCACGTGTTTGGTGGTACAGCGTCAACATGGCGACTGGCATCCAGTTGTTCTGGAATATTCCAGCACGGACCTATGATTCTCAAACCAGAATTGAAGTGCCCCAGCCCAGTCTGTGCCCCGCCCCCATTCTGTCCACAGGGTAAGTTGCTTTCTTAGGGAGCACTTCAAACCGTGAGATAAAGATGCCTTACGTCCTTGCAAAGTCCACCATGGGGGAAGTTTGGTACGGAGTTGGAATGAGTGACCATTACTTCCATACTTTTTAAATGCACATTGGTTGCCGGTATATAAAATATAAAACTTCATATAAAAATCCGGACTTCCAGTTTCTTTAAATTTTTTTTAATTTTATATGCTGTCAGCACAGAGCCTGGTGTGGGGCTTGAACCCACAAACTGTAAGATCATGACATGAGCTGTAGCCGGACACTCAACCAACTGAGCCACCCAGGCGCCCCATCCATCAGGACTTCTAGCTTCTTTTTAAAAATGGAAAGATGTGCTGAGCTGCATCCGTGTTCCTGCAGAGCCCCCTTTGGTGGGCCGAGCAGTGGCTGGCCCGTAGGCAAGGCTTCTCTCCATTGGGCCCCACTCCTCACCACCCCCTTGCGCCTCTCATACCGGGACGCCTCTCTCACGGCTATACATGAGCTCATCAACTCAGCAGGCCCTTGATGGGGGGCTCCCCTGCTTTACGGCATAGACTTCTCTGTGTCCCAGGAGAACTGAACTCGGTCAGAGGGTGAACACATATCCTCTGGACCCCGAAAGCCCGAGGGCAGCATAGATGGAAGTGATGGGGGCTCCCATCAAAATTGATTTTAGGGGGTGCCCAGTGGCGCATTTAGTTAAGTGTCCAACTTTGGCTCAGGTCATGATCTCACGGTTCATGAGTTCGAGCCCCACATCGGGCTGTGTGCTGACAGCTCAGAGCCTGGAGCCTGTTTCAGATTCTGTGCCCCCCTCTCTCTCTGCCCCTCCCCTGCTCACGCTCTCTCTCCCTCTCTCTCAGAAATAAACATTAAAAAAATTTTTTTTAATTGATTTTAGGGAGTGTTTCACTACGACAGGAGCGTATCGTTGCTTCTTACCTTATTCTTCAGAAATGTAATTCTGAACAGGACAGAAAACTATCTTAGGATTTCTGTGCATGGGCGTGCGTTTTTCGTCCTGGCTATGAGAAGCTGTGTGGATTTCGCCCCATGTCTCACTCCTGTTCATCAAAATAAATTGAGGTTCGCGGCTTGTCGAATTTCATACTGTCAGGAAAAAGAGGTCACTTTGGTGAATGAGTCACCAAGCTCTGGGCTTGGCACCAGCTGGGCACCAGCTCTGTCTTCGCAGCAGTGCCCCAAGTCAGGAAGGGGCCGACACCCTCCTGGCTGTGGGTGAACTGCTTTCTCTAATTCAGATAAAAGCTGTGAATAACCACTTCTCTCCAGGAGAGTGGCTCACAGAAGTCTGATCCGATCCTTTTTATACAGTCAGCTTTAAAAAAAAAAAAAAGCCCACGTGTTTTCTGGTGGCCGAGGCAAACCATTGATACTGGGATGGCCCCTGGAGACGTAGCCAGGCAGGAAGACGCAAGTGGGGGTCTGTGGCCGCGGGGGCTGTGGCTGCTGCCCTTCGCAGACGTGGGGCGTCATTGCACCCCGAGTGCAGGGATTGTCCAGGGTGGGCTGCTGGGCTTTTGGGGGGCCCTGTGTTAATAGCACTCGGCTTCCTGGGCCAGATTGCGAGCAAATTGGAATATAAGGGAGAGGAGCTAGAAAGGCATCATATCACCTTTATAGGCTTTTGTGAGCGATTGGAAGTACAGGTGGGAGGTCTGGGTGCCTGGCGGCCCGGGTCTCGAGAACACAGAGCGTTGGCAGGCGTACGGTGCCCCGTCCCTGTTTAGTGGGAGGAGCTACATACAGCCCTCTCCCTCTGCCCCCATCACCCGTCTGCCTCCCCTGGGTCTCCACGTAGCCTACACAGCCACCATCCCACGCCCCCTGCCACCTGAGACCTCGGTCTCTTGGCCTTGACCCCTGGGATGGCTGTGCCCTCTGCCTCACAGACTCAGTCACCTTCCCTCGACTTTGCTCCGATGTCCAGTATCTACAATCCCAGAACACAGAGCCTGAAGATTCCGCTTTCACCTCCTCTCTGCTTCTGGCACGGGTGGGAGCTGGGGAGGGACCCTCCTCGGCTTCCCGGAGTTTGTGACTTCACCCGTGACATGGACTGTCCATTTTCTGTGCCTGGGTCCCCAACCGCCACACGTCTAGCGACTTCACATCACACCCACTGACCATTGTTTCTGTGGCCGGGAGTCTGGGCAGAGTTTAGCCGGGTTCTCTGCAGGGTCTCAGAGGCCTGCGATCTGGGCCTTGCTCTGGAGCTTGGGGCCCCGGTCCCAGCTTGTCTGGTCACGTGTAGAATTCACCTCCTTGCAGGGTGCCTGGGTGGCTTAGTCAATTAAGCGTCCGACTTTCGCTTAGGTCATGATCTCGCGGTTCGTGGGTTCGAGCCCCGCGTCGGGCTCTGTGCTGGCTGCCAGCTCGGAGCCTGGAGCCTATTTCGGTCTGTGACTCCCTCTCTCTCTGACCCTCCCCTGCTCACGCTGTCTCTTCTCTCTCTCTCTCTCTCCTAGAAATAAATAAGTAATTAAAAAAAAAAAAAAAAGAATTCACCTCCTTGCAGTGTGGACTCGGGCCCTCGGCTCCTATAGGTCTCCCTCCTCCTCTCCCTGTTCCCGAGGGGCCGCTCGCTTCTCCCAGGCCAGCAGGAGGGTGCCTTTGTTCAGGAAGGCCCAGCGCATCTTTCCAGAACACTTACCTCCTGTAGTCAGGCCCGTCCAGGATCACCTCCCCACCGGTTTACTTCAAGCCAGCTGATCAGGGGCCTCAGTTACATCAAGTCTGGTCACTTCTGTCACGTAATCACCAGACCATGAGGCCACAGTCCTGTCACATTCAGAGTTCATGTCCACACTCAAGGGGGAAGGACCTATATAATGTGTACACCATGGGCCAAGCATCTGGGGGCCGTCCTAGAAGTCTCTCTCCCCGGGTAGAATGAATCCCACTCCCCTCCTGGGACGCAGGTCTGTTCCGCTAGCGGATGTGAAGGCACCAGGAACTCAGTACAGGTGTGTCTTTTCCTTCCTTCCTTCATACTGACCACAAAGAGTGCAGGCATCCAGGGGCCATTTCTTTAACTACTCTGCCTCCTTTTTTACCCAAATTGTCTCAACTTTGGCCTGATTGCTGGTATTTTTCTCTTCAGTCGAGTTAAGAATGAAAGATGGTGGAAATAAGCCCGAGAGTCTAACGGACAATCCATTAATGTTTCCATTTTGCAAGCTATCTTCAGGCAGTTTGATTTGCAGATTTCCATCCCTGCGAATTTTCTGCTTTGAGATTGTTCTGAAAAACATGAGGATAAAGGGGAAAGACAGGTTGCAAAAGTATTTTCCAGAGCTTAGCAGCCTAATCATTGCCAGCTGAGGACGTGTGTGTGTGTGTCCATACATGTGCGTTCCACGTGAGTGTATGTGCTTGCGTGTCCCCTGTGTGTTGTGCATCTGTGTGCACACTGTGTGCTTGTATGTGCTGTATGCGTGTGTGTTATGGATCCGTGAGCACACGTGTGCATGCACTCTACCTTGCAACATGCATGTGTGTATGCACTGTGTGTTGCTGTGTGCATGTATCCACGTGTGTGTATGTGCACTAATTATTGTGTGTCTGTATATTTGCTGTGTGCATGTGCATATATGCATGTGCACATGTGTATTGTGCACTGTGTTGCTGTGTGCCGTTATGTTCGGTGTGCGTGCATGTGTGCATGTGCGTTTGTGCATTGTCACTTAGGTTGCTGTGTGCAGATATGTTTGGTGTGCAGGCATGTGTGCGTGTGCACTGTGTTGCTGTGTGCAGGTATGTTTGGTGTGCACGCGTGTGTGCACGCACACGTGTGCGGGCACGTGTTGCTGTGTGCATGTGCACGCATGTGTTCACTGTTGCTGTGTGCGTGTGCATGTGTGTGTGCACTGTTGTTGCGTGCATGTGTGTATGTGTGCGCGCCGTGTTGCTATGTCCGCGTGCACGCATGTGGGCACTGTGTCGCTGTGGGTGTGTGCACGTGCACATGTGTGTGCTCTGTGTTGCTGTGCGCACGTGCATGCATGTGTGCACTCGCATGTGGCCCGGGCGTGCCCGGCCTCTCACGCCCCGCCCCTCCCCCGCAGTGGGCTGTCGAGTGCAGCAACCTCCTGCGGACCTTGCACGGCCTGGAGGAGGAGCAGCTAAGGCGGTCCCTGGCGCTGCGGCGAGAGGAAGACTTTGCCCAGGCCCACAGGCAGCTGGCTGTTTTCCAGAGGAACGAACTACACCGTATCTTCTTTACGCAGATCAAAAGTGCCATAGTCCAAGGGGAACTGAAGCCGGAGGCGGCCAAGAGGCTGCTGCAGGATTACTCTGACATACAGGTGAGGCCTCAGCCCGGCTGGCCGTGACGGAAGAGGGGCTTCCGGCTCCGTCTCGGGGGCTCCTCCTCTCCCGGAGTCCTGTCCCCTCCTTTCGGTGTGTACAGTGAACTCACCACCTTCTTCCGCCCCGTGACATGTGTGTGGGTTTCCGTAAACAGGACAGTCGGTCGCTTGAAGCACAGCTCGGATTCGAACTCCTGTCCCATCACCCCTCAGCTCTGGGAATTTAGGCAAATTGTCGGACTTCCCTGAGCTCATTTCCTCAACCTGTAAAATGGGGGTAATAGAGCGGATTCTTGGAAAGCCTGTGCCTGACAGTATATATACATTTATTATCCACACAGCAGTTAAAAATATACCCATGTGCATATATGTGTGTGTGCATCTATGTGTACCTGGGGTTTACAGTCTGTGTCTGGATACTCCTGGGTGGATCTGTGTGTTCGCCTAAAACTTCAGGGTGAATGTTCTTAATCCAGATGGAATAAATTCCTTTTTTAAAAAAATATTTTTAATTTTTTTTTTTCTGAGAGAGAGAGAGACAGCGTGAGCAGAGGAGGGTCAGAGAGAGAGGGAGACACAGAATCTGAAACAGGCTCCAGGCTCTGAGCTGACTGTCAGCACAGAGCCCGACGCGGGGCTCAAACCCACGAACCGCGAGATTATGAGTCCAGCCTAAGTCGGACGCTTAACCGACTGAGCCACCCGGGCGCCCCAGATGGAATAAATTCCTAAGCAGCAGTGGGAATAGCTGATCTGAGACCGTCACCGCTGCTGTGGAATTTCTCCAGCCCGCACGGGATATTTTGCTCGCACGTTTACACTCCCATAGTGAAACTGCCGGTGTGCAGCCGTGCGAGCAGATTTCTGGTCCCAGGACAGGCCCGGCGAGGGAGGGCGGTGAGGAGCAAGGCCGTGCCAGAGGGGACCGAGTGACCATCCCTGAAAGACTCCCGAAAGTAGGTCTTCCAGGATGAGACTGCCCCTGCTGGGAGGCTCCGAGCATGAGGACAAGCCAGCCTCCCCAGATTCTTTCCACTCAAACCCTGGCGAGAGTATATACAGTAAGGATTCTGCTCTCCTCGTGGTCAGGCGTTCAGAGTTGTCACTTAGGTATTGACCAATGGGTGACTCATTTTCCTCCTCATTGCAGGCAGCGGCTGACTCTCAACACTGGGATGTTCAAGCTAGAAAGAATGCTTGAGTTCGTAATGACGGGGTGAAGGAGGTGGCTTCCGTGGGCGATCATTGTACCACGGCCGGGAAGATGCCAGCTACGCTTTTCCGTGTGTAACTGGCTCAGGTCCGTGGCTCACAGGGACCCAGTTTCGTGCAGGGTGGGATTATTGCCTCCACGTTCCTGGTATATCGATTCTGCTGCTGAGAAGTCAGGAAGATGCTGGCTTTCGGCCACTTCTGACTGACTCTTCTGCACACCGTTCAGTGCACATTCCCAGGTTTCGAGAACTGGAGACATCACACCTTTGTTGGACTGGAAACCGCCCGTGGTATCATATGCATCTCGTCAAACAAAGCATTGATCTTTCCGGCGACCCACTGCAGGGACAGTATTTCCATGGCTGGGGAAAGACCGCAGAGCCAGTCAGTGGGATAACACAGCTTAGGCTAACATTTTAATTACCGCTGGTCTAATCATTGCTGATCTAATCACTGTGCTGCTGGGTAAGGCTGCATTTGAGAGCAGCCTAAAGTTAGAGCACAAATCCTGACATGAGATTACTGACTTCAAATCCTGGCCCAGCCGTTTACTAGCAGTTCAATGTGGACTCTGTTTCCTCATCTGTGAAATGGGAATAAGTGTTCTCGCTCTCTAGATGAAGTTAGATACGGTGAGGAACGCTCTGGGCCCAGTCCTGGACCCAGAGAAGATACCTATGTCAGCTAGGTAATCATCAGCGCCTTGTGTTTGTTTGGGCTTTGTCATCTTGTCTCCTGTCTCCTGCTGGCGTATGGAAATTTTGAGGGTCAAGTCCAGTGTCTGATTTACCCCCAGAATGTTCGCACCTGTGCTGTGTTTCGGGAACCACGTGGGTGAAGGCTGAGTGACTGAGCGAAATCCACATCCCCTTTCTGAGAGCAGTAAAGATGTTCTGACAGCCCTCCACGTATCTGGGTCAAGAATATTCTCATTCCTTATCAGCATGTAGTTTTCTTCTAAGCCCTTGTTAACAGTAGGGCGGTCTAAGTTGATCGCCCCCGTGCCTCTCCCCGTGTGTATTTTCTTCAGAGAGGAAAGGTAATGCTTTCTATGTCTAGAATTTTCTCTAAATTTTGATCAGGCATATTCTCTTGATATTTTTTTCTAAACAGGAGAAATTAGAAGAGCTAATGGACTTTTTCCAGGCCAGTAAGAGATACCATCTAAGCAAAAGATTTGGGCATAGAGAGTACCTGGTACAGAACATGCAATCATCAGAGACCCGCGTGCAAGGCCTCCTGAGCTCCGCAGATGCTCTGCTGACCCTGTTCATCCAGAAACACGAGAGGTAAGACCTGAAAGCCACCACGGATGATGCACCCCCCTTGCCCCATCGTTTCTCATCAGGGATCGTCTATGCTGCTCGGTCAGCGAATGCACTGGCTGCTCCTTCCTTCTTTCCTAAGAAAGATCCTCCAATGGGAAGAATCCTTTGCACTGTAGAATTTCAAAAACATACGTGATAGTTGAGAAAGCCATTCGATGAACCTTCCGTGTGCCCATCATACAAACTCAGTGACCGATGTTGATGTCACTCTACATCCCCCTCCCAGAGTTATTTTTTTTTAACTATCATAATGTTTATTTATTTTTGAGAGAGACAGAGAGACAGGGCGTGAGCAGGGGAGGGGCAGAGAATCGGGAGCAGGCTCCAGGCTCTGAGCTGTCAGCACAGAGCCCGCCACGGGGCTCAAACCCATGAGCTGTGAGATCATGACCTGAGCCGAAGTTGGACACTCAACCAACTAAGCCACCCAGGTGCCCCCAGAGTTAATTTTTTTAGTGTTTATTTATTATTATTTTGAGCAATAGAGCATAAGTGGGGGAGGGGCAGAGAGAAAGGGAGACAGAATCCAAAGCAGGCTCCAGGCTCTAAACTGTCAGCAGAGAGCCCAACATGGGGCTTGAACCCACGAACCGAGAGCTCATGACCTGAGCCGAAGTCTGCCGCTTAACCACTGAGCCACCCGGGCGCCCTCCTGGGTGTTATTTTAAAGCAAATCCCCAACATCTCACTGTGACTTCAGTGGTGGAGGGTTACATGAGCTGTGTGCTGAGCGAGCCCACTTCTCCTTGAACTTGAGCCGTCTGCCAGCTCTTGGATTCAGTGAGGTCCGAATACACAGATGCTTGCGGCACCTGGGTGGCTCGGTTGGTTGAGTGTCCGACTCTCGATTTCAGCTCAGGTCATGATCGCAGGGTTGTGGGATCGAGCCCTGAGCCAGGCTCTGTGCTAGGTGCAGAGCCCACTTGGAATTCTCTCTCTCTCTTGCCCCCTCTGCCCCTTTACCCTACTGAGATGCGCAAGTGCTCTCTCTTTTTCTAAAATAAATAAATACATACACAGTTGCTGGTCTTGCATTGCACATGCTCTCTCTCTGCAGCCTCAGGGTACCACATGGTCTGTGGTAATGCAACCTCTACCCTTCTACAGCCTCCCTCCCCAGCTAGTCTTTGACATACTTGCTTGCAAACAGTGGCACTTCCTCTTTCTGGTTATGAGAAGCTCTTGAATAAACGGAGGCATGACAATAAACCTGGCTTTCCCGGGACGGTCCTTGGTTTTCTGAATTGATTCCACCTCCTTGGTAATGTTATTAGGGCTCTGCAGCTTTCCTGCCCCATCTAACGAGGATTCTGGAAGGTGCAAATTATGTGAATGCTCCCTACCCAAAGATGCTAATGAGTTTGTCACTGCAGTTGACTTGACACCCCTGATGAATTTTCACTCAAGCCAAAGAAACCATTCCTTGCCTTGACCTGAAACAGCACCAGCTGGCTGTGGTGTCGTGAGCGGCCAGCAGGCAGGTGCGCCTTACCCCTGACTCTTAAGTCCTCTTTCAAAAAGTTGGCCTAGACATGTTTCTAAGGCCTGTATCCACCATTCATTCTTCATTCGTTCATTCACCTATTCATCCCTTCAAGAAACTTCCATGGATAAACTATCCTGGGCCAAGCAGAGGGCCCGGCCCCACGATGCAGGCAGACTGGGAATAGTGGCAATCACGGTCACAGACCGGGCCACTCAGAGTTCTCGAGAAGAACAACCAGTAAGATAGATGCCCGGAGTTGGTGCACATAGTGACTGAGGCCGAGAAGTCCCACCGTCTGCCGCCTGCAAGCCGGAGACTCGGCAGAGTGGGTGGTGGGGTTCAGCCTGAGTCCAGAGGCCTGGGAAACAGAGGGGACCCCGGCCTGGAGGTGAGGCGAGGCATCCAGCAGAAGCCGTGAGACAGGAAAAGGGGGTCAGATTCCTCCTTCCTCTGCCGTGTATGCTATTCAGTCCCCTGCTGGATGGGCGGGGCCCCCCACATGCGGGGGGTGGCCCGCTTTACCCCCTAATGTCCCCTGGAAACACCTCCCCACCCACTCAGTGTTTACTGTGGGTGCCCTGTGGCTACCCAGGTTAACATGAAGAATTAACACTTAAGAGAGTATTTCCTACTTTTACCTCTTGGACTTCCTTTTATAATTTATTATTTTTTTAATGTTTATTTTTGAGAGAGAGACAGAGTGCGAGCCAGGGGAGGGGCAGAGAGAGAGGGAGACACAGAATCCAAAGCAGGTTCCAGGCTCCGAGCCATCAGCACAGAGCCGGACACAGGCTCGAACCCACAAATGTGAGATCATGACCTGAGCCGAAGTCCAGTGCATAACCTGACTGAGCCACTCCAGTGCCCCCACTTGGACTTCCTTTGTGACAGTCCCGTCACCAGGAATTCGTAGTCCACCGTCTCCTCTTGGAAAGCTGGAGCACAGGGGCCCTTCAAGTGCCACTCTCTCCCAGAACCCGTGCCCAGCCTCCACCCAAACCGGCGGGTTTCTGATGTTGAGATTTCTGTGCCCGTTTCCAGTGGCGCCAACTTTCCCTTCCTGTATTTTGGGAACGTCCCGGCCGCCCATTCGCTCCTGCTCCTCAGGGTGAAGACTTCTTCTGATCAAACCAAACTAATGCAGAGGTGACCGTCCAGCCACACCAACAGCCGGGCTGAGAGTGGGTTTGAAGCGTGCGTCAGCCACCTCTCTCTCTCTCTCTCTCTCCCCCCCCTAGAGCGGGGTACCTTGATGAGGACCAGATGGAGGCTCTGTTGGAGCGCACCCAGACGGAAGTCTTTTCCATCAAACAGAAGCTGGACAATGACTTGAAGCGGGAGAAGAAGAAGCTGCACCAGAAATTAATCCTTAAGAGAAGACGAGAGATACTGCAGAAGGTACGTAAGGAATCGCACCCGTGATGCTTGGGGTGACCTTCCCGAGCCCTTTCGGGGCGCCGGGCACCACTGGGGTAGAGCACAGATTCAGAGGGTTTCTGGGGTATTACAGGGTGACACCTAGTATCGTCTGGTCCCGTTCTGGAGGGAGGGAAGGGGCTGCAGGCCAGGTTCCTAAGTTGAACCATAGAAACCCTGCTTTTCACGATCAAGTTTTGGCCCCAACATAAAGCTGTGATTTTCACCTCGACCACTAAACTCCACCCCATCCTTGACCATTGCCTCGTCCATCTCCACTGGCTCAAGGATGAAATCGGTGGGGCCCAAGGCCACCCTTCTCTGATGGTCTGGGCTGATTTAAGGTTAGGATCTAGAAGGATGGACGCGTTCCAGAGGGCCTCCTGGTGCCCTCACAAAGCAGAAGGAGGCTGTGGGCAGGTGCTGTGGTAAATACCAGCACGATGGTCGTCTTTATGCAGGTGCCCTTGTCGCCCACTGCGGGGCCCTCACCCCTCCCGCTCTCTCCCCAGGGGTGTTCTTCCCCACCTCTTGCTTTTTATTAAGTTTATTTATTTATTTTAAGAGAGACAGAGGCAGTGCAAGCAGGGGAGGGGCAGAGAGAGAGTGGGGGGGGGAGAGAGAGAGAATCCCAAGCAGGCTCCACGCCACCAGTGCAGAGCCCCACGCAGGGCTCGATCCCATGAACTGCGAGCTCACCACCTGATCTGAAATCAGGAGCCGGACGTTTAACTGACTGAGCCACCCAGGTGCCCCTTCTTTCCTCACATCTTAACCCCACTGAAGCATGACTGCGTCCCTTGATATCACTCAGATCTCCTACCTTGAAGGCCTCCCCTGACCTCCTCATTTAAAGTGTCTGTCCTGGATGTCAGGGTGTTTTTTTCCCATTACCCCATCCTGCGCTGGGCCCCCCCGTGCCTGGCGCACAGTGAGGATAATGGACACCCACTGGCATGAGCTCTGCAGCAGCTCCTCCACTGAGGACTACACACGGGTGAAGCGACTGAACCCTCACAGCTGCTGTGAGAGGTACATGCTATTACTGTCCCCATTTGACAGATGAGGATGTGGAGGCACAGAGAGGACTAGACGTTCTCTTTGGGTCAGTCAGCTTGGCCATGGAGATGCCAGGATTGGAACCCAGGTGGTCTGCCTCGTAGGCTTGATCTAGTCAAAAGTAAGCCTTGGGGCTCAGTCGGTTGAGCGTCCGACTTCAGCTCACGTTATGATGTCGTGGTTCGTGGGTTTGAGTCCCGCGTCGGGCTCTGTGCTGACATCTCAGAGCCTGGGGCCTGCTTCAGATTCTGTGTCTCCCTCTCTCTCTGCCCCCCTTCCCCGTTTGCTTTCTGTCTCTCTCTTAAAAAAATAAATTAACACCAAAAATTAAAATAGTTTAAAAAATAATAAAAGCCTTGAACAAATGAAACTCTCACTATATTTTGAGTTACTTTCCTTAAAAAAACATTTTTTTTAATGTTTATTTATTTTTGAGAGAGAGAGAGCATGAGCAGGGGAGGAGCAGAGAGAGAGGGAGACACAGAATCGGAAGCAGCTCCAGGCTCTGAGCTGTCAGCACAAAGCCCACTGCGGGGCTCGAACCCACGAACCGTGAGATCATGTTCTGAGCCGACGCGAGATGCTTAATTGACTGAGCCCCGCAGGCGCCCCGAGTTTGGGTGGCCCTCTTGAGGCTAAGTTTCTAAGCGTGAGGTCGTTGGGGAAGGACCTGGGGGCATCCTGTGCCTCGTGCCCCAGGTTTCTGCGGGGTCCCCCGGGGCCCTGCCCCCACTCAGCTCTCCCGTCTGCAACCCCCGCAGCTCAAGGAGCAGCGCAAGGAGCTGCTGTCGGTCGGGGAGGCCCTGCGGGCGGCCGAGGACGCCGGCCAGTACCTGGGCCGCTGGGGGAGCCTGCTGGCGGGGCACGGCGCGGCGCTGGAGATGCTGCAGGAGCGCCTGGACCAGGCGGCCCTGGAGGACCTGAGGGCCCTGAGCCTGTCGCTGTCCGAGAAGGCCGCCGAGGAGCTGAGGCGGCTGCAGAGCGCGGGGGTGACCCAGGAGCTGCTCAAGCGCAACGTGCCCTGGCTCTTCGTGCAGCAGGTCCTGGAGGAGCACAGCCGAGAGCTGGCCGCCCGGGCCCGGCAGCTCGAGGGCCAGGAGCGGGACAGGGGCCAGGAGGGCGTCCAGAGCGTCAGGCAGAGGCTGAAGGACGACGCCCTGGAGGCCTCCACGGAGGAGCAGGCCGAGCTGAGATGCTGGGAGCGCCTGATCTTCGCGTGAGCACCCTGCGTGCCCTCACCCTCCTCCACCCTCCACCCCCAGCAGCGGGGGGCGGGGGGGATCCCGCGCGTGGTCGTGGGGACGGCAGTTCCTTAGTCACAGGGATCGGCGGCCCAGGGCCACAGCCGAGGCCAGCGAGAGGCAGGCTCTGTAGCAGGGGGAGGGGGAGGTCCCCGCGTTCCCATGGGGGAGGCGACTGGTGCGGAACGGGACCCTCCATTCTCTGCTCCCGGGGACAAGGCCCCTCGTCGGCCTGTCTCATCAAGGGGACCGGCCCAGCTCCTGCTCCCGCGGAGCATGTCACGTGTCGTTCTCTCGAGAGCCCATTCTGAGCCCGCCCAGTTTCTCCCGATGTCGGCAGCGTGCGCCATTGGGCCCTAACCTGAGGCCTTGCAGGCCACACCTCACCGTCCCTTCACCCGCCCCTCCCTCAGTCACCCATTCAGTGACGGGGCCATTTGATTCGATTCTTCATTCGAGAACCATGTAATGGCATCAGCCTCTGAGTAGGACGTCCTGGGCCGCAGCCGGCTGACGCTTCTCGTATAATAACTAGAAAATGTCAGATAAACGGCCCACCTACTGTTTTTAAAGACGGGGGGTGCTGTAGAAGCAGTGAGGACCAGCACGGCGCCAGAGCGCCACAGCCCTTAGCTCCGGGCAGTGTTCGACAGCTCTCTGCACAGATGGAGGTGTGGTGTGGCTCAAATGGGGCACTTGTGTGGGGTCATAGAGAGCAGCAAGGCGTTGGGCAGCTGTTGGGGGCTGGCCCATCAGATGGGAAACAAAACGAGCTCCAAACCAGGCCAGTGAGGGCTGTAGACAGGAGTGAGGTATGGACAGCATAGACCAGAAAGCCTACCTTTAAATCCCAGCGCCACCACCAGCGGAGTGTAGGAAAGTCACCTACCGAACTTGAGCCTCCTCTGTCTTGCCTTAAACGACAGTCCTCAATCACCGAGGGTGCTTTCTGTAGCACATGATACTATCGCGTTGGTAAAAGGTGAAGAAAGTATTTTATGAGGAGTCGTCAGTGGTAGATGTTTCCAGGCTTGATTCAGGGGCTCAATGATTCTCTCAAGGACCCGGTTCTCACCATCTTTCTGCTCCACTACCTTCAGTGTGCCTCCTTGGTCTTTGGGCTCATTCCCTTATGGCTTCAGGATGGCTGCTGCAGCTCCATGTGTCTCGCTCATCATCCCTTTAGAACACCTTAGGCATCAAACCTTCCAGTACCACCGGTCAGGATTACGTCACAAGCGCATGCCTAAACCACTCACTGGCAAGGAGAATGAAATGGCCATGTTGTCGTAGACCAGAGGGCAGTAAACTGTTTTTAATGACGTGCAGATAAGTGTAGTTGCTGAGGCCCACATGCTTTCTGTTGCAACCATAGCCAGCCATAAACTAATGAACTTGACCGTGTTCCAATAAAACTTTATTAACAAAAACAGGCAGGGGGCTGGACTTGGTCCACAGGCCGTAGTTTGCCAATCCCTGCCTTAGACAAGTTGCGGATTGCCCACCCCGGGGCTGTGAGGGGTGTTTAGGGTAACCTCTCTAAACAAAAGCTGAGCTGACCAGGGGTAAGGTAGTGGCCCGGGGTTAGGTCATCCACCTCCGTCTAACAAGATGCCGCCTTCACGGCATCAAGGAGGGAGTACGTGAGTTAATATATTTAAATCTTTTAACACAACCCTTGATCTGCAGGAAGTGGGTAATAAGTAGTAGCTGGTACCATTACCCCCGTCATTCCTGGGCCGGAAGAGCTCAGATTATCAGGGGAGCAGGCACACAGAGAGGCGGTCGTTGACAGACGGCGCCCAGGCAGGTGACTGTACCGGGGACACTGCAGGATCCAGATCTTGGCCAGGCTCCGAGGGAGGCACGCTGTGTGTGCCCACCACCGGCCTGGCACTGGGAGCCGGAGATGAGCGGGTGCAGGCCGCCAGTGCCTTGTGGAGAGGGGGCACGACCAGGGTTGGGGCCGCTTGCTAGGAGGTCGTGGTCCTTATATGAGTGTGACATGGGGTGACCCGGGTGACCGGTGTGAAGGAGCAGAGTTAAAAACCATCCCCGGCAGTGTGGGGGCAGGGTGGGGGAAAGACCAATTACCACCCTCCACTGGGTCAATTTATTTTGAGTAACGAAGTAACTGTTTGCATACGTGAACATGATGGTGCCCATCTGGCAGTAACAGAGAGCTTCTTTTCCCCTTAACAAACGGACCTACCAATCCCTATTCCGTAAAGTTGCTCTTCCTTTCAACAAACCAAGCAGCCAACCCAGAAATCTAAGCAAATAAACAAATCCAAACAATCCGTTCAAGCAAATAAACAAAACTCGAGCCCATTTACCACGCCTCCCTGGGTATAGACGCTTCACCGTCTCAGCTGATTCTTGGGCACAACTTAATTCCGAATCCAGAGCTCTGTTTGTTGGAAGCAGTTGCACAGAGAGGAGTGCGGAGGGGGTGTTGTGGGTCGGCGGTGGCAGAGACGAGAGGGGAGTGAGCCCTTGCCAGCATTTCGGGTTAGCCCGTCTCTGTCCCGTCTCTGCCGGGCCGGCAGGCTGTGCGCTGGGCATCGGTGGTCCCTCCCACCTGCCCCCTGTGATGGGCATCGGAAGGAGAGCATCGTCCTGCCCACGCCCATCCTTCCTTGGCAGTGACCTCTCGTGAAACAGGGTCTGTCCGGCTTTCACCATTTCGTGCCCCCTCCCACGCAGTGTTCTTCCCCAGGGCTGCCCTCACCACCAGGGAGAGCGGGTCCCCGGGCATCTGCAGAGAGCACCGCCGCTCAGCTCTTCCTCCTCTCGGTCTTTATGGTTCTGGCTTCATGTATTTCCCGACCTTTGCTAGCATCTGTCTTCTTGAACACACAGGATGCCGTCTTCTCTCCAAGCATGTAGAAATCAGATCCTCACACGCCACTTCTTATTCCTCCGAATCGTTCTCCACAGCAGAGATTCAGCTCAGTGTGCATTCCACCAAAGTCTCTTTACACGCTCCAACCGGCTTTGGGCTCTCTGAGGCATATGAATGAGACTTGACATTCCCATTACCAGATGGTCGTTTTCTTCAACATCATTTGGATCCATTTTGCAGAGAGCAGGGCCAAAGCCGGCCCTGATTGAGTCGTTTGCCGGGAAAAGAGAATTCTCACCTCGCTGTCTGAAAACTCTTTATCGGTTTTCCTCAGGGTTAAAGAGGGTCAGGTAACTATGCACACAGTACGCGCCTGCTTGTATACCTCGCTTATTTAAGATTCCAAAAGGTTGCAGTCTTTGTTTCTGAGGCATTCTGCAGAAGTGGCTTTGCACAATCGTTTTAAAACACATGTTTAGAAGTGTTCCGATTTCAAGGAGGATGCAGTTGCTGTGAACCTGGTTGGGTAAAGTAGGAATTAATAAGGATGCACTTTTTTTTTTTTCTATTTGCCAGGGAAAGCATGTCTTTGAAACCTGTCTCCTGTGCTCCTGCCTTGATTTTAAACTCCTTTAGGGCACAGACTCTGCCTGTCTCCTGTGTTGGTCTTATCTTGGTGCCTACACAGCAGAGCATTAAGACCGGACCACACAGGGCCGATGGGCTTGGGATGGGCAGGAATGGTGACTCAGAGTCATTTCAAGGTTACTTTCACTTTGGATCCCACGCACCCCACAAACACAGGGGACAAAGCCTCTCCGGGGGCAAGGTACAAAGAAGCAGCTGTAGTTTCCTGACATTCTTTTATTTTTATTGCTATTTTTTAACATTTATTCATTTCTGAGAGAGAAAGCGTGAGTGGAGGAGGGGCAGAGAGAGAAGGAGACACAGAATATGAAGCAGGCTCCAGGCTCTGAGCTGTCAGCACAGAGCCTGATGCGGGGCTCAAACTCACTAACTGTGAGATCATGGCCTGAGCCAAAGTCGGACACTTAACCGACTGAGCCACCCGGGTGCCCCCAATGCTTATTTATTCTTGAGAGACAGAGAGAGAAAGAGAGACAGAGCGTGAGCAGGGGAGGGGCAGAGAGAGAGGGAGACGCAGGCTCCAGGCTCCAAGCGCTCAGCACAGAGCCCTATGTGGGGCTCGAACTCACGAACTGCAAGATTATGACTTAACCCGAAGTCGGATGCTTAACCGACTGAGCCGCCCAGGCCCCTGTCTTCCTAGCATTCTTTTAAAAATGTTAATGGACCCCATAGAGTGAGAAACCCAAGACAGGATGTGGAGACATGGGCCTGGGGCCTTCGCACTCATTCTGGCCGGAGCCCCATGTCCTCAGAAAGTCCTGTTCTATTTCCAGAAGAGAACTTTCTAGCTGAGCTGTGGTCCCGCGCTCCCTCATTGAGATTGGGGCGTGATAGGCCTGGCCCCGGCCTCCTCCGGCCTCCCTCCTCCTCCCTCTTCCTCCTGCAGGCTTTTCTGAAGCAGCCACGGCATATTTCCTGCACCCGATGTTGATTGAACGTTACCAGAATAACCCACCAAACCACATCTGTCTACAGAGAACATTAGTCCCACGAACTAGTGAATGGACATGCATTGCCCAGAGCAGGAAGGGGGAGAGGTGTCTCCCCCACCCTCTCACCCCCGGCCCGGGAGGAACGTCTGCCCGGTGGAGTGGGCCGTGGGCCTTGCCAGAAGGGAAGAGCGGGCGCCTCCCTCGGCGTCCTCACCCGCAGGCTGAGGGTGGAGTTGCTTGCTGGAAGGTCAGGCAGTGATGGAGGTCAAGGTGTCTGTTTCCCATGGCTGCCGCAGCAAAGCATCGCAAACTAGGGGGTCAGGAAGGACAGGGAAGTATTCCCTGGCTGCCTCAGAGGCCGCAGGTGTGACATCAGGGTGTCAGCAGGGCCGGGCTCCCTCTGAGGACACCAGGGCAGGGTCTGTGCCTTGCTCCTCTCAGCGTCCGGGGTGGCCACTGCCCTTGGCACCGTCCGTCAGCTTTGCCCATCACTCCAGTCGCTGCCTCCGTGGTCCCAAGGCTTCCCCTGCGTGTGTCTCTCTTCTTACAAGGACATCAGTCCATGCTGGATTCAGGGCCTATCCTGCCCCGTTAAGACCTCACCTTACCCTTCTTTCTTGTCGGCAAAGACCCTGTTTCTAAATAAGATCGCGTTCACAGGACCCGGGGTTGGGACTTGAATCTCTTTTTGGGGGACACACAGGTCAGCCTTCAGCAGGCGATCACTCAGCACGTTCCCAGCACGGGACGGGTTTCCTCTGAGCAGTGGCTGTCAGTCGTCACCCCTTAAGACCCAGCGCAAGGCCCCCCTCTCCCCTCATCCTCCTGAGCTGAGCTGGGAACCCCCTCCTCCAGGCCGCTGGCGCCTACGGTGTGCTGCCGAGTGGGCTCGGCGGACAATGCTTCATTTTCACTTGTTGCTAAAGCGAGAGCAGGCCCTCTCCCCGGTCAGGGGGGGCCGGAAGGCCTGTTGCGTCCCCGCAGACACCGTCGCAGCCTCGTCCCACTGTAACTTAGCTCCAGGATGCTGGCGTGACGCGCTCTTGGTGCTCAGATCGCTGCGGAATGAATGCAGATGAGTAAAGACATGAGGAGCTTTTCCAGGCGCGCATGTGATGAGCGGATTTTACTGCGTCTGGATTCCACACACCCCCACCCCTCCCCCCGCCCGCTTCCTCTTGATAAGAACCTCCCCGTTCTGGCTTTTCCAGGAAGCTCTGTTCCTCAGCCTTCTCCCAGTCTGAAGAGGAGCTGCTCAGGATGAAGCAGGAGGTTCACGGCTGCTTCGCCCAGATGGACAGGAGCCTGGCCCTCCCCAAAATCCGGGCCCGCGTCCTGCTGCAGCAGCTGCAGACCGCCTGGCGAGAAGCAGAGTTCCAGAAGCTGGACCAGGCGCTGTCTGCCCCTGAGCTGCAGGTAAGAGTGACGTCGGTGGCTTCTTGACGGCGGGCGTGGGGCGTCTTTCAGCCCCCCAAGGTGGTGGGCTCTGCCCCCGCCACCCACGCTGGGGTCCTTTACTGTCACTCTCCTCTGCAGCCATGGCTGCATCCGGCTGGTCCTAGAACCGTCAAGCTTGTCCCAGCCTTCTGCCAGCTCAGACCCGCTCACCTGGGCCCTGCACCCCCTTTCTGGGCATGGCTCTGGGAAGATGGGCAGCACCTGGCCTGAGCCGTTTCTTCCCCTCCCACTCCCTCGGCCACACTCAGTGACCGGCTCGGGGTACAAAAGGCCAGCCCCTTCTGTAAAGGGCGTGAGAAGGGTGGATCAGGGAAAGAGAGCCCCTCACACTGGCGCTTGTAAGTGTGATGATGGACATCTGCCTTTTCTGAGCACCTGTTATGTGCCTCAAAGGCAGACCACGCTTGGGAGCCGTGTTTGCTCCAGAGACCCCGGAGCAGTCAAGGCTACACGTTCCCTGAGAGCCCTGCCCCGCGTGGCCCTTCCCCTTCCTGACCTGGTCCCTCACTTGCCTACACGTTGCCCCCAGCTCCTCTCTCGGGAAACCGTGGCCTCCCCATCCCCATCTCTGGCCCTGCCGCTGGGGAGCCCAGCCCAAGACAAGACTTTGAACTTGCTGTTTCTTCTGCTGGGAACACATTTCCCCCAGAATCTCAAGGGTCCAGCGCTTTGTGGTCTCTTTGCACCCCAGCTCAGCTTACCCCACGAGGCCCACCCTGAGCTCCCGGCTAGAGGAACCCCCTCCCCAGGCATTCCTCCTGTGTCTATGGTCCGTGACTCCACAGAATCGACCCCTGCCTGAGACGCCCTTGTTTCTCAGCCTGCGCCCTGCCCATGTCCCCACTGCAGACCAGCTCTCTGACCTCTTCACCACTCCGTCCCCAGCACCTAGAAAGTGCCTGGCGCATAGTAGGTGTGCAGTTCATTTGATTGAGGCAGCCAGTCGCCAGATGCACACAAGATGTCAGTCTCCTCAGGCGATGCTGTGTTGAGATTGATAACATATTCAGAGTGCTTCAACTGACATTATCTCATCCAAGTTCACGGCAATGCCAGGAGGCAGGTTTCTGCACTCACTTTCCAGAAGAGAAAAACACCCAGCAGAGGAAAAGCGGGTTGATAGAGGCAGGCAGGAGGTGGGGAAACGGCTTGGGGCTGGTATTTTCTGACTTTAAGCCCGCTGCTTTTCCTTTAGGGGAAGGAAAGAAAAATCCATATATCTCCTCACTGAATAAAAAACAGTGCAATGCAGAAACAGCTTGGAAGCTCTCATATTCTTTTACATTAAAAAAAAAAAAGGTTTTTTCTTTCCTATTTCTGTTCTCAGAAGGGTGCAGGATACATAAGATGATGGGGGTTAGAAAGTAAGGAACAGATTATCAAAGTTTTTTATTTTTCTTTCACGTTTTAGAACAGCGATGAAACATATTTCCATATAAGTGCAGCGAAACTTATTTCCATATAAAGTTTCCCCTGCTTTGGGGCTGACCAGGGCCCAATCCTGGCAGGAATTAAGTTTCTGATTCTCAAGTTATTCAAGGTGCTGGGTTTGGAAATAGAGGTGGCCTCGCGCCCTGCCTCCGAGGGGCGGAGGCCCCAAGTGGGAAGCGTGCTTGCTGGATACCCTGTGGGAAATGCACACACAGGCTGGGAGGGGCTGGTGGCCACGGTTGGCTGAGCCTGGCTCCCTTCTCGAGGACCCTCCTGGGAAAGCAGAGTTGCTCTGTGTAGCTTCACAAGCACAGGGACCTGTTCCGCCGAGTCACCTGTGCCCAGAGAGGCTGCCGGGTCCTGGTCCCACCGCCGGGGGGAGGGGAGGGGGACGCCGGTTAGTTGCGCTGCCTGACCGCACAGCTTTGGCTCTGCCATCTGGAGTCCCCTTTTCTGCCTTTGGTGGACTGAAGGCCCACCCACCGAGTTTGTTCAGGAAGATGTCCATCGTACCCCCCTGCGGCCTCAGGCCCCAGTGCAGCTGCGGGAGCGCCGCTCGGCTCTGGGAGACAAGGGGGTGGGGGGCTGCGCAGACCGCTGGTGGTCACTTCCCTGCCTGTGCTCCGGCCCCTCTAGCCGCAGTCCAGGGCGAGAAAGCCGCGCTCCAAAAGCAAGAGCAGAACAGACCTTCTGAGGAAGTGCATCGAAGATAAAATTCAGCTCTTTGAGGAACAAGTCCCCGAGGACCTGGTTGAGAAGGTCAGTGCTCCCGCCTTTCTGCTCTTCTCCAGCACACGCAGGGCCGACACACCCGTTCCCAGGGCACACAGGGTCCCCGGGCCGTGACTGCCGCTGTCCTGTGGTCCTGCGGCCGGGACGCCCCCACCCCTCCCCAGACCCTTCCGCCCATCCTGTCCTGTCTGGAACTCTCCTCTTCCACCTCCCCACCCCATCTCGGCTTCGTCCCTCGGGCCCCGTGTCTGCTGCCGCCGCGGTGGCCGCCGCCTCTGTGCCGCACGTTCACCCGTGTTACACTTGGTGCCCCTGCGTGTACCACGCACAGACACGCGGTGTCGTCCACGTTCTTCCCTCTTTCTGGATGAGCCCAGCCGTCGTCCCTTACCCGGGTAAATGAACCTCATCCTTGGCTGTCCTAAGGTGTCACTCTGTCCTCAGGTGTCCCCTCCCCTAAGAGGCCTGATCCGATCACCCGGTTCTTCCCCCTCCCTCCTCCTCTCTTATCCTAACTCGTGCCGTACTGTGTGGTCGCTGCACTGGGCTCCTGAGGCCACAGCGCTGTCCCTGGTGCGGTGTCGACAAACTCTGGGTCTACAGCGGTGACAGACCATCCTGGCCTCCCTCCCGTGGTTGGGGGAGACGGACAGAAAACACTTAAAATTACAGAGCGTGATCAGTCCCATTAGGACACGAAGGAGAAGACATGATGGTGACAAGATGGGGGTGAGGGGAAGTGAGACCGACCAGAAGCGGCCGCGTCAGGTCAGGTCTCTCTGGAGAGGTGACATATAAGAGGTGACATGGTGCTGTCACTGCGTGGGTGCCCGCTGTGGCCCCCAGCACTCTGCGCAAAGGGTAGGCCCCTGAGAGGAGGGTGCCCAGTGAGCGGCTCTAACAGACCATCTTTCCGAGCGGCCGTTCCCTCCTGCCCCCGGCCCCGTCCTTGTCCAGTGGGCTTAGCGCAGGTGTGTTTCTCAGATCGCAAAAGCATAGTCTGGCCGAGAGCCACCAAGCCTGCGCAGGGTGAGAGGTCAGGGGCTCCTTCTAGGGGTGACCAGGCTGGGGTGTCTCAAGGGACTCAGGAGGCAGCACCCTGTTCCCACCCACGTGCTCTGTAAACCTGAGAAGTAGGACAAAGACTGGTGTGTAGAGGGGAAAATGTCAGCGTCCTCACTGCTAAGGCTAGCGGCGAAGATGGAGATTAGTGTGAGGCCAGATGGGCTCGCTGGGTGGTACCAGATGGGCTTCCCCTGGGCTCGTGGGGGCGGCCTTCCTGGAGGAGGTGAGCACAAGTGCGCTCTGAGCAGAGCCTGTCCGACTGGTGTGTTGTGGTCACAGTTCACCAAGGGGCAGCCAGGGAGAGGGGTGTGGGGGGGCCATCGAGAGGCAGCGGGGGAGAAGGGTGCAGAGAGGCGCCCAGGGGCAGTGGGGGAGAGGGGTGTGGGGGGCCACTGAGAGGCAGCGGGGGAGAAGGGTGCAGAGGGGCGCCCAGGGGCAGAGGGAGAGGGGGGTGGGGGGGCACCAAGGGGCAGTGGGGGGTGCGCTGAGGGGCAGCTGGAGGAGACGGGTGCTGAGGGGCCCTGAGGAGCAGCAGGGGAGGGGTGGGGGGCACTGAGGGGCAGAAGGGGAAAGGGGTGTGGCCGGGCAGCCTGGGTCCCAGTGAGGCATTTCCTCCAGCGCTGCCGTGTCGTGACCCAAGTAACCCAAACCCGTCAGGCCGAAGGTGGATGTTGCTGGAGAAGGAAAACTTGGGGTTTGTGTTAGCGGAGAGAGTGGGTGGCCTGGGCCTCGGCCAAGCACACGGTGCAGGTTCGCGGGGAGCCCAGGGAATCGGCAGCCACGAGAAAAGGCTGCTTCGCTGGAGTGCAGGGTGTCCCAAGGGGAGGACAGCCCACCGCGGTGGAGGGTCTTCCGGGCCAGGCTGAGAAGGTGAGCTGAAGCTCGCCGGTCCCATCGACGGAGGAGAGGGACAGGCCGAATGACTGCACGGCCGTGAGTGGTGACGGATGACATCCCGTCCCTACGGAGCCCTGAGCCAGACTCTGCAGCCCGCCCTGCCCTGAGTTCACCCCTGTGGTTTCCGTGGGGGGTGCACATTTGTCCTGGGCACCAGCCAGGCCCTTCACGTGCATGGAAGACGCAGCCCTCTGCCCAGCTCTGGACGGTCCCTGGCATCGTCAAGGGCAACTTAAGTTTCGTTTTTGTCCTGTGCACTGATTTAAGAACTTAACTCCCCTCTTGAAATACAACAGCCCTTCAGTAAGAATAGTGCTCATTTATTTTGTTTGCTTTTGAGTGCCTGCAGCCCCAGGCACCTTGCTCAGGACTGTTGTGTCCAAATATGTTCCTTATATGTGCCGGGCATGCATATGACACACAACAGAAACACATTTTATGGATACATAAGTAAGAGCTAAGCAGTCTGAGAGCTAAGTTCGTCACATGTGCCCCTGCATTTTGTCACCACACATCCCATAGAAGAAGCCCCATGAGGAGCACCTGGGAGGCTCAGTAGGTTAGGCATCTGACTTCAGCTCAGGTCACGATCTCTCGATCTGTGAGTTCAAGCCCCGTGTCGGGCTCTGTGCTGACAGCCTGGAGCCTGGAGCTGCTTCTGATTCTGTGTCTCCCTCTCTCTCAGCCCCTCCTGTGCTCATGCCTCTGTCTCTCTTTCAAAACCAAATAAACGTTAAAAAAGATTTAAAAAAACCGTACGAGTGTCGTTTTGAGAGACAGAGTCTGACGCACAGAGAGGTGAAGTAACTCCAGGGTCACACCCCGGCCATCTGGCTTCAGACCCCGTGTTCTTGCTTCCTTTCTAGCCTGTGTCTCGTGCAGTCCGTGTGCTCAGACCCTCCCAGCCCCGCTAGGAAGCAGGAGCACGCGATGTCCCTGTTTTACAGGTGTGGCAGCCGGGTCCCCAGCAGTTAGCAAAAGGGCTCAGGCTGGTGCAGGCATCCGGCTCCCGGACCTCCTGCCCCTCGCCCTGGTGCTGCCTCTGCGTCCAGTGCCCTGGTCAGGATCGACAGGGAATATTCTCACCGGATGTGGTTACCTCCCCTGGTTGTGCGACGCGGGACACACACGCCTTGGCTCCCGCATCTGTAAAACGAGGATTGTGACGATGATAACCGAGTAGTTAACAGATAGAAAGGGTTTTAGCTCTGAGTGGGCTACAGCGCTAGTTTTGCCCATGATGGGACAGCTCTGTGCATGTGCACCAGAACCCAGAGAAAGGTAGACGGGATGCGTTCGTCAGCTGTAACCTTTTAATGACAGGCCATCCTCGCAGTTGGCCATCGCACTGTGGCAAGTGCCGATAGAATACGCGCTCTCGAGTCAGCGGCTTTGATGGTCCTCCTGCAGTCGATCGACCGCCTCTCTCAGCACCGGAGCCACAGTGGTTCAGATTTGTCATTTGCAGGGTGCTGCGGATTGAAATGACAGCCCTCGGTTTGAGGCCCAGCAGCTGAGAGGGGTCCGATCGTGTCCCGGGACTGGGAACGTGCAGCTGGAAGGAGGGACTGGGTCAGAGACCCACGGCAAAGCCGCAGTCTGGCCGGCAGTGTGGGGTCCCCAAAGGGACCCTGGCTTCCCTGTTGGGACACTGGAGGCACCTGCTGGGTGACCCCTTTCTTTGCCAGAATCCGAGTCAGCGATCCCCGTAACCTCCCCCAGTAAACTCAGTCCCAGGTGGACATGTGCCTTGTCTAGAGGCTTCCATCTGAGGAGGTTGGGAGAATCACCCAAGGTCACACCGTCAGTGCGTACTGGAGCTGGGAGGTGAACGAGGCACATCTGCCTCCATCCGCCATGCCCCTCCGTCACCGTGTTGGGGCCCAGCTGGGACAGTAAGCAGGCTCAGCCTCCCAACGTGGCTCTCTGGTGCCCTTCCCGTGTCCCCCTTGCCTTTCTTCCACTTCTTTCCTTGCCCCTCTTGTCTCTCCCACCCTTCAATTTCCTTCCGCGTCCTCTAGGGAACGTTTTGTGGACTGCCTTCTCTGGGCCCGCGGGTCTCCGGTTTTCTGCTCTTGAGATGTTCACAGTCTTGGGTGAGCGGCCACTTTGCGCATCAGCCATTTGGAGATTCACATCCCGCTTTCAGGTAGAAAATCCACCCTGCTGATCTAAGCTCCGCCTCGGGCGAGTGGCTGGTTGGCTCACAAAGAGTCGTGCGAATGATGTGGGGAGACAGACCGATGGACAAGGGTGGGCTTCCCGCCTGACCACTTCTTCTCTGCAGCTGAGGTGCTAATGGAGTGAGGAGTCTGCTCTGGTCACCAGCAGCTGCCTGGGGGGCAGGAGTGTGCCTGCGATCAGAAATGGGACTCAGGCAGGGACCCCTACACCTTCCGATGGGCTCACTGTAAGCTCACAGATACATCATTTCATACCTGACAGACTCTGGAGGGCATACACATTTTGGAATAAGTTAATCTAGTTCCTAAATAACTTTCTGTTATGATGGCATGAAATGTACAGGTTAATTGGAGAATTGGCATTCGATCCCCCAAAAGGCAGAATGTTTCTTCTTTTTTTTTTTATTTGGATCTTCTCTTTAGGGTCTTTAGGATTTACAGTTGTTTCTATAAGTAGGGTGACCATATGTCTCGGTCCGTTGGGACAGTCCCAGTGCCTTTCCCGTTAGCTCTTTTCAGTCTCAACTTTGTGATAAACCATATGGTCACCTTATATGAGAAGGATTTCCTTGTGGTGATTCCTAGATACGTTATAGGTTTGCTCGCAGTTGTGAATGGTAACCTATTTTCTTCTTTTTTAATCTTTTACTTTTTTTTTTTTGAGAGAAAGAGAGTGCATGCACTTGCAAGTGGGGAAGGAGAAGAAGGGAGAGAATCTTAAGCAGGCTCCATGCTCAACGTGGAGCCTGATGTGGGGCTTGAGCCCATGACCCAGGGATCATGACCTGAGCCAAAATCAAGAGCAGACAGACGCTCAAACAACTGAGCTACCCAGGCCCCCCGTGGTAGCCTATTTTCAATTATGTTTTTGACGTATTCAAT